CCTGGAAAATCCCAAGGAATTTCCACCTGAGAATTTTCAAGTGATGCAAGTTTAATTTCCTCATACAGTACCTACATATAAAACTAAGCAGTATGGTGTACTATTGGTTTTCCTATATAGGTACAATACTGTGTTATTATACGGAAAATGCAATTTCGAATTGACAAGTATACATAATACTTGCTCATTGTTCAGGAACTTTTGGAGCGCCCATCACCAAACTTATAGGGAAGATTCTTTACATCATTAGGTATCTCTAACATGAATTTTGAAAAAAAAAAGATATATATTTTTTTTATTCAACTTTGAACTTTACAACCTGTTATAACTTTTTTATATTTGAATTGAGGACTTAGCATTTATTAATAAAGTTATAGAGCTACTCAATAGCTTTAAAATGACACCAAAATCAGCTCTGTAGGTGCCACCCTTTTCGAGATATGGTCGGTTAAACACGCAAGGTATCGCTAATTAGCCAAAAGTTCGTTAGCAGATATCTCGCTAATTAGGAGGCCTAGAGAAAAAATTTTTCATTTCTGATCATTTTTCATGGGTCCCAACAACATACAAAAATTTGAACAAATTCGAGAGATTGAGGTTTTTTTTTGGTTGATTTGACATGGAATTACCCGTATGCTGTACTTTTTTAACACAGAGATTTGGACTGGGTTTCGGAAAACTGAGTTTTGGCAAACTGGGATTTCATGATTTCAGTGAACTGGATTGGGCATTCTGGGTTTCGGCAAACTGAGTTTCTGCAAACTGGGATTTCATGATTTCAGTGAACAACTGGATTCGGCAAACTGGATTTCGACAAACTGGTTGGATACCTTCTCGAATACTATTGCTATCGGCGAGAATGCATCCTTGTCAATGAAAGAGATTTTGTATTAGTTCCAGATCTTCATAGCAGCCAGGAAAATCAGACTCGAAAGTTGTCCTGCATGCAATGCATGCTTTAAGGAATTACAACCAATACATAAATATCAACCGTTCCATTCTGGAGACATCGATACTGCAGTCGTTGCTACTGTATATCTTATTTTATGACAACGGAGAGAGGGTCATTCTAGACACAAACATTAGCAAATACCGAAAGTTGTTCAAATTAAGTGGCATTAACTTTCACCAGCGAAGAAATCATCCCTTATTGGATCTCGTGCTTCTGTAGTCAAAGGCAAGGTTTTGTTGACACTTTCTGATAACTTTAAAGTTTTAGATGTTATGTCACAAAAGATATCTGAGTAACTTGAAGACTGCGCATGGAGTTAAGAGGAAAAGTGTAAATCAAGCAAGATGTGAAATTTTCAATAGAGGCAACAAGATCACAGACATATCATTGCTACCACCATGTTTGCAAGCAGACCCTTGAGCATTTGAGCAAATTTAATCGCTAAAGAATGGAAATTAAGCAGACGTAAATGATCTGGTCAGTAAAAATAGTATTCACAACAGATGGAATGATCAAATGAAGCAAAAAATTATTGAGACAGTGATGCACATGGACGTCCAAGAACTGTTTATAATAAAGACGAGGACTTTCAGATTGCAGTGATATTAGCAATACATGAAGATTATTGCTCAACATAGGGTTACACAGTAAAGGACAATTATGTAATAAATGAAGTAATGCCTTTATACATGAAAATTATGGTAGTTACTTGTGTGGTCCTCTGGAATACCTTCTGTAGTACACAGAAATAATGAAAAACAACTGTAAGGAAGCTGGATAGTTTTTTAGGATTCTGGTGATATTTTCCATTTTTCAAAACAGAAAAGGGCTAATATAAGGGGGCATTTTTACTTACATTTCCAAAAATGAGTTAGCTTACCACCTTAAAATATGTTATTTTGGGTTTAAAAAGTCAGCAGTCATTTCATTATGTTTTGTAAATTAAACAAATTCATTTAGGGTAGTTAAGCTGCTGTTAAATTGTTCTTTAATTTTGGCGGCCATTTTAAAAAGCGCCCTCAATTGCCTCCCGAAATCTTCACATTAATAACTTTAGATAGTTATACTTTACTCCTATCATTACATATTCAAAAGTTGGTCAAACCCACCTCTTCTGTGCTTATTTTACCCATATATATGTAGTTTATTGGATTTTGGCGGCCATTTTGAAAAAAGCGCCCTCACGCAAAAGTTCCCAGGTTACGCCTCTTTTACTTCACATATTCTGATTCCCCATAAAAAACTGGTCTAGAAAAACCATATGAGAATTTCTACCTCTCCAAGTGGCACCTATCTCAATTATAGCCTGGTCTAATAAGGAAACGGACCAAGATATCCCAACAGATTTCAAGGGGTTCCTTGACTCAATCACTTGCAGCCAAGAAAATGGTGCTTGCTTAAGTAGAGAATGCCCAGAGTGCAGTGAAAAGGTTGATGAAATGTACAACTTTGAAGGCAGTGATAAGCAGAAGGAAGCAACATGGCGTCAGTGGGTGACCAAAGACAAGCATGCTGAAAAGATGCAGATTAATGGATTGTTGGAAGACCTCATAGATTGCTTTAAAAAACAAATCAAGCCATTCTGTACACATACATTCACTAAGCGAAAGCAGAGTGCTCATTTTGAAGCAGAAAAAAAGAGAGCCAGTAAGCAAGTTGCAGTGGTACAAGTAGACTTTGCTGAAAACTTTTCAAACATTCAGCAAGATGAAATACAAACAGGGCATTTCCATCACAATCAAGTGACGTTATTTACAGCTTGTGTGTATACTGGGCAAGGAGCAGATGATGTGCAGTCCTATACAATTGTAAGTGATGATACAAAACATGGACGCTACCAGGTTGCCAAATTTATTGATTTGATAATCAACGAAACTAAAAGAAAAAATCAAGAATTGGTCCAGATGGTGATTTTCAGTGATGGTGCTGCCAGCCAGTTTAAACAGCGCTACCTGTTTGAAAATTTGACTTATGTCAAGGAGGACCATGGCCTGGATGTCCAATGGAACTTTTTTGCCACAAGCCATGGGAAAGGGGTTGTGAATGGAATTGGAGGGACTGTGAAAAATCAAGTGTATCGGGCAATGCTCACAGGAGCATACAGTACGTCATAGATCCACAAACTTTTTTTGAGACTGCCGTCAAGGTTACATCCAAGATTAACGTTATATATGTATCAAAGGAAGAAATAGACTTGGAACGTGAACGTCTTGATGTTCGATGGGAAGATGTATTCACACTTCCTGACACTCACAAGATGCATTTTATTGTCCCCACCAACAGACACATTGTTAAATATGCCACATATAGCACCTGTCCACCAAGTAAAATGAAGGAATTTCGAATGAAGAGAGAAGAGGAAATAGCAGAAAGCAGTAATAAAGAGGATAAGAGATTACCTACATGTGGCGACTTCGTTCTGGTTAGATACCAGTCGGCAAAGAGTAATAGCTACAAACATTATGTTGCATTGGTAACTGATGTGGATGATTTTGAGGCAAACATTACACATTTGTTTCGCCAAGATAAAGAGTGGAAGGTGTTTGTTGAAAAAAATGTGACCGACAAATACGGAATTGTTGACCTAAGTCAAATAGTGGAGATCCTTAAGGCTCCTTACATGGACAATCGTAGCCGATATCATTTTGAAAATGCTATAACCATGGCAAATTAAATCTAGGGCTTAAAACATAATTGAGACTTTGTTTATGCTCTATAAAAATTCTATACATTAAAACATAATTGAGACTTTGTTTATGCTCTATAAAAACTCTATACATTACATTAATGTTAAGGCTGTAATATGGTAATAATGAACATTAATTGGATTACATTTTACAGTATAATATACATGTACATTTCCTAGCATAGATTAACTTAACTGTTTTGGTATTTAGATTTATTATGTATCTAGTTAATTTGTATTTAAGTTAAATTCCACTTTAGAATAAGTTTATTAATACTGTACAAACGATTGCAAATTTAGCTACTGAATACACGAAATAGAGAGTTTGTTAGTTACATTCAAGGTCACTATCTATAAGACAGTGGCATGAAAAATGTGCATCCTTAATATTTCAACAATTACTTTTACATGTATTTTCAAATTAGAGAATGATTTTAGACATTCCCTCAATATTATTCTCATTACCTTTTGTACTATATGTTTAATGCGTCAGTTCGCGGCCGTCAGTCCGCGACCATACTTCAGCTTTTATTATATTCTAAATAAATACAAATAATTTTTTTTACTCTAAATTTCAGTTCAATTTCTTTCATTAGGTATCTGTCTTCCTATAAATAGCAGTAATTAGATTGTAAACTAAATATATTTATTATAGCAAGTAAGAAAACCTGAAATTCTGAAGAAAGGTCATTTTTCAGCCGTCAGTCCGTGACCATTAATTATATCATAATTTTATGATATGTCCAGATGATACAAAAAAAATAAATGCATGTAAGTTAAAAAAACTTAAGTAGATGAATACTTTGAGTACTAAATGCAATGAGATTTCATAATAAATACTTGTTAATTATCTAACTAAAGGTTTTAAGTGACTAAAAAATGTCAGTCCGCGACCGTAGAATTGCCCTTTATTTTCATTTTCTCCTCCATCTGTATATTTTTTGTAAAATTATTTGCTAAATACGAAAACAAAATTCTATTTTTTATTCTGATGATCTTTAAAAATGTAAAGTACATGAAACAAGGAATAAAGAAAGTCTCGTCTTAGGTGTGTGCAGTATACCTACCAGTACCATACTGTATGTTGTTAGTGTTTTTGTACAGGGGACAGGGAACAATAACTCAAATTTTTCAATACAAGGAAAATCACAAGGAAAATAGGTGTAAATAATCGTCTCTAAGCCTAGGGACTATAATTAATATATTGGTTCAGAAATACTGTAGGCTAGGCCTAGATTAGCCTAACCCAGAAGCAAATACTGTAGCCTAGGTAGCTAAAATAAGCTACACCTATTATACTGTACCATACTCAGACTTAGACTAGCATTGCATTGTGCAATTGCGACACCCAATCGCAATTAACAATCTTGTGTGAAAGCCCACCAGGGTTGCTGGCCTGCATTTTACCTACAGTAGGACCTATCCCTAGCCTCTAGCATGCGTGGTTTAATACAATTTCAAACAGGTCTTTGGACCTTAGGCTAGGTATGGGCTAGGCCTACTCTAGGCATAGCTAGGCAACACCTCTGGCTATAATGTACCACACTTAATTTCCTGATCTCCTGGAGGTTTACTGAAAATCCAACTGGTTCGCAGCCCAAATGGAATTTGGCCTACCTATCATGGCTAGGCCCAGACACATAGTACTTAAGGCCTGCCAAGAATATTTCCTCCACGTATAGAAATCTGCCCGAATATTTCAAAAAATACTGGCCAATATCCGCCCCGAGTTTTTTTAATTGCCAGGATGACACCTCAAAAACTGGCTCAAATTGGAGCAAGGAAAATTTGGTCTGTGGAATGTAAAGTACAGTACTGCCTAATAATACATTGGATATTATTATACGTCAAAGCCTGATTTTCAGGAAAATTACATGCAGAAACGAGTTTCTAGGCCTAACTTTTTGAGCGGAGGATACAGTTACTTTACAGTCTGGATTTAGGTTTTGAACTAATCTTAATACTATTACTGTAGCTGTATGCAGTAATTACGATTCTAAGCACCTATTTTCCTGGCGATTTTCTGCAAAAATTTAAGCTAATTTTTGAGGAATCATCAATACAAAGAGTGTGGGCTTGGCCATGCCTACGCCTCCTTGAATTTATAGACAATTGGGCCGAAAGACAGTCAGACAACCATGGTATGGTAACATAATTTCCAACCGTTACCATGGCAGATTGCTCTATACCGCCACTCATTTCTTTCCACGCACCACTGGCTAATGGAATAATCTCCCTGGCTAACCTAAATCTATTCTTAAGTTAGATTCTTAATCTAACTTAACAATCTCACCACACATATAATGGAGAAGTCAAGTTTTATTCGCACCAAGTTTATTTTTCCTGCATGTTTTTGTTCCTTTTTCTGTATCATCCATTTCCCGTGTCATGCACCCTTATTAAGTATTTTTATTCCTTGATGTCAAGTCCAAACAGAAGGCCCTTTCGAGTACTTGATGTACAAGTAAACGGCCCAGTTTGAAAGCAGGCCTAGGCCTAGCCTAGTAGTAGTGTAGTAGGCTAGGCCTAGGCCCTACTAGCCTAGGCCTAGGCTAGTCCTACTCCTAGGCTAGGCCTAGCCTAGTAGTAGTACAGTAGATAGCCTAGTTTGGAAATCATTTCGGTCCAAATACAACTACTAACCTAGGGCTACTGGAGCCTAGGCTAGCAAGGCTAAGTAGCCTAGGCCTACTCCTCCTATGCTCTAGGCTAAACTAGGTAGGCTCTAGGTAGTAAACCTAGGCCTATGACCTAGGTTAGCCTCTCCACTACTAGGCCTAGGCCCTAGCCTAGTTCCAAATCTTTACACAAATAATGCTTACCCATCGCTAACTTGTTGTAGTTCAACTTTTTTCTGGCTTTGTAATAAAATGCTTACATAATGTCGTATTATTCCGACAAAGAAAGTTATAAAAACAATTGGCAAAACCACCCAAACTCTAATATTTGAATCTAAGAGCAGCTCAGCCATTTTGAGAACCACTCGGAATAGGCATAGATAGCAAAGATACTAGAAATACAAGATAGAGTTCTCCACACAAAAAAAGTGTTCCACAGTGTTCCACCGAAATGCATGGTGGGAATACGAAAAATGGGACGCCCCCTACAGCTGGATCTAAAAAAACTTGTGGATGTGTATAAGAGACAGCCACACCGACAGTCCGAGACGGCGCGCCGTCTGCTGATTGTCGGTGTGGTGTCGTGTGGCGTGATTGCGTGATTGGTGTGATTGTGGTGTGGTGTGATTGTCGGTGTGGTGTGGTGTGGTGATTGACGCGACGCCACGGCGTCGCGTCAATCACCACACCACCACCACATGTTTGAAAGCTCCCTCTAGACAACATTTTAGAATCTGGACAGAGCTTAACACTGTCGTTTTGTGGGACCTTAGCAACAATATCCACGTTGGGCACGAAGTATAGGAAACTTGCATGGTTAAAAAGAAGGGCGCCGCCTACGTTGGGCACGACTTCCGCCTCATTTTTACAATGCGAGAACTCTATCTTGTATTTCTAGTATCTTTGATAGATAGCGATAAGATAGAGTTCTCCACAGCAGCGCCACACAAAAAAGGGGTAGGCTGAGGCTATCGGCACTGCCGCAGTGCGAAAAAAAGCTCCTGTTTTCTATCGGCACTGCCGCAGTGCCAAAAAGCTGCTGTTTTCTATCGGCACTGCCGCAGTGCCAAAAAGCTGCTGTTTTCTATCGGCACTGCCACAGTGCGAAAAAAGCTGTTATTTTCTATCAGCATTATTGCTGAAAAAAGCTCCGATTTTCTATCGGCACTGTCGCAGTGCCAAAACACTGCAGTTTTCTATCAGCACTGCCACTCGAAAAGCTGCTGTTTAATTTATCAAATGGATGTTTTTATCGATAAATTATGGTATCAATAATTGGTTAGATCTAGCCTAGCCGTATTATTGTTAACATTATATTATATGTTTTACAATTAATTTTAATTATTTCTAATTATTAAATATATACATATATATATATATATATAGGCCCATATAGGCCTAAATAAAACAAAAAATAAAACAACAAAAATAAAAGTAATAATAATAATAGTAATACTATAATAATAATAATAACATTGCTCGAATAATACTACAATAATGAATACAAATTAATAATTTTTTAAATAAAGATATTTATTTCATTCTGTTTTACAAAATAATCTTATAAATTATAAGTTTATTTTCTATGATAATTTTATCCACATTATTCAAGTTTTTAATGTTAATATGGTTGATAAATAATATATGAAAAAAAAAAAAAAATAATAATAATAATAATAATAATATGTTATATAATAAAGGTGCTCGAATAATGCTTTAATAAAGAACTAATAATACTTCAATAATACTTCAATAGGCATATTTGCAATAGTGTGATTAATGAGATATTTGTTGATTAATTTATAGAAATATATAATAGGTATATACCATTAATAATGATTCAGCATATTCAATCAACTTTACGTCTATAGATGTAAAATCTGTTTTTTTTTTAATAAAATGTTACTTATTTTATTATGCTTAAAAAAATAATCTTATATATTACATTATAAAGTTTCATTTTAAATCATCTATGAGAATTTAATCCATATTTGCAATAGTGTGATTAATGAGATATTTGTTGATTAATTTATAGAAATATATAATAGGTATATACCATTAATAATGATTCAGCATATTCAATCAACTTTACGTCTATAGATGTAAAATCTGGTTTTTTTTCAATAAAATGTTACTTATTTTATTATGCTTAAAAAAATAATCTTATATATTACATTATAAAGTTTCATTTTAAATCATCTATGAGAATTTAATCCACATAATTTATGTTTTCAATTATTTAAGCATTTAAAAAAATCAGTGGGCCTAACGCTGGATGTAAATGTTAAAAAAAAAAAAAAAAAAAAAAAAAAGTGTTTTCGTGTATGAAAATGCTAATACTATATTTTTGGTAAGCAAAGCTCAGGATGGTTCACACGTGGTGACGAATATCCGTCGAAATTCCGTGTAAATAAACAGCAATTATGTAAATTCACAAGAAATTTACGAATATCTTAATCAATATAATCTTAACTAATATCTTAAATTAGTTAATTACAATATTAATTAATAGATTGATATAAACATTGTGACCTATAACTAAAATTTATTAATATATTTTAATTAATAAATACAAGAATCCTGCAACGAATTTTTAAGGTCAAAAACATATATGTTTATCGTCGCTACTTCAATGAACCGAAAAAATACGAATATAGCGATTGAAAAAATTCCTTTTGATGCCAATTTCTGACCTAAAAAATCGTTGCAGGATTTTTTGTATTTATTAATTAAAATATAATAATAAATTATAGATATAGGTCACAATGTTTATATCGATCTATTAATTATTTGGTAATTAACTTATTTAAGATGTTCAGATATATTAATCAAGATATATTAATTAAGATATTCGTGTGAAAATTATTTACATAGGCCTAATTGCAATTTATTTATACGGCATTTCGACGGATATTTGTCACCTCGTTTGAACCATCCTGAGCTCTGCTTACCAAAAACATGCGGTAATCGCGCGAAAATATTAGCATCTGCTTTTGTTTTTTTTTTACATTTACATCCAGCGTTAGGCCCACTGAATTGTTAATGCTTCATAAATTATTTGGTTAACATAGAATTTACACTGATAATTTATAAGATTATTTTTTTGAAACAGAATACTGTGAAATAGGTAACATTTTATTGAAAAAAAAAAAAAAATAAAAAATTTACATTGACGACGTAAGTTGATTTAATATGCTGAATCATTATTAAAGGTATATAGCCCTACCTATTATATTTCTATAAATTAATCAACGAATATCTCATTAATCATACTATCGTAAATGAAGTATTATTGAAGTATTATTAATTCTTTATTCAATTTTTATACCTCCATGTTAAAGCATTATTCGAGCACCTTAATTATTATTATTATTATTATTATTATCATTATTATTATTATGATTATTTTATATATTATTTATCAACCATATTAACATTAAAAACATGAATTAGCATATATGGATAAAATTATTGCAGAAAATAAACTTATAATTTTTAAGATTATTTTTTAAAACAGATTGAAATAGGTAACATTTTTATTTAAAATCGGGTTTTGCATGGACGTAATTTTATTTAATATGCTGATCATTATTATCTCATTATTCAAAATATCGTAAAATTATTATTACTATTATTGTTTGTTTATTTTTTGTTTTATGTATATGCATAGGCCTATATAACATATAATGTATATATTTAATAATTTAATTAGAAATAATTATTTAAATTACTAATTGTAAAACAAATATAATGTATATGTTGACAATAATATAGGCTACGCTAGACCTAATCAATTATTTATATAATAAAGCCAAAATTTTGAACATCATCACAGTCCAACCCTCCAAATCTTGTTTTAATATCTAATTAACTGAATTCACTTCAGTGTTATATTTTGATCTTCATTCATAATTATTATTATTATCATTATTATTACTTTTTTTTTTATTTATTAATTATTATTATCTGTATTAATATTATTATTGTTATTATTATTATTATTAATCACTAGAATTTCTGTTTTTTTGGCTTTACATTTCTTAAATAACACACGGTCTTTGTTTAAAAAAAAGGTGTACATAATAATGTTAAAAATAGGTAATCACCATAGCAACCATTGCTAGCAAACTTAATGAAAAATGTTTATTAAATGTTTATTAATATTTATTTCATTTTATCAGACCAACAGTGAATCATTACCACTAAAATATATAAAACTTAAATACCGTATCATAGGAGAACATTAATAATCAATTTCAAATATAATTTCATGTATTGCATCACAATATGGTTTTTAATTTCCATATAAAATAATTTTGGAAATTTATGCAGTGGTTTGTAGAACAAAACGTCATTACCATAACAATTTCTACGCACACTTTAATGTATAATGAAAAATTAAAATGTAATAATGTTATTAATATCATAAGATAAAATTCAGTTATAATACATCTCAAATTAATTCTACATACATTTATGATTAAACAAATTATGAAACAGTGGTGTAGAAAAATACAGTGTCCTCACTATGGTAACAATCACTATATAGACTGAGACTAAACATTAGTTTAGGGACTTAATATTTGATCAACATATCTTCCCATTTTTCTTTCATTTTGCATCAAGCTATCTGTTTTTAATTTATATGGAGCATTGTACAATGGTTTTCTTTCTTGACTTAAAATATCTTCATACATTCTGATAACATACTGTATATTTTATAATATACATACATATCTTCCCAAATTTCTCTTATTTTGTTCACATCTTATTGGAAACTCTACTTCGATACCAATGTCTTAGTTATGTCCTCTTTTTAGTGTTTCCATTTCATGTCATGTATTTTAATTCATAAACATCATAGCCTATTCCACCATTAGATTCTTCCTCTAATTCTAGTATTAAATCTGTCACCTGCCACTACTGTAGCACCTCTAAATATTCAAATGATGGGATTGGATTGGATTTATTCGGTGTAAAGGATAGCCCACGAAAGTCTAGAAGAAGGCTTATTTCCAGTGGGTCGTTTTGGTGGCAGGGCCATCGGAACCGCGAAAAAAACAAAAAAAAAAAAACAGGAAATATACAAAATGATATAAAAAATAAATGTAAAAATACGGTACATAAAATTACATAAAAATTCAGTTTCACATATTAAATATTACATACATAGGCCTATTACATTAAAGGTAGAAATATTACAATTAAAAATATCAAATAAGAGACAATGACAAATAACAGTAAAGTCTACACCCTAAAAAAAATTTGTAATTTTGACAATGCTTAGAGGTATAAACATATAATTACAATTAACTATATATGAAATGTTAGGGTTAGTCACCACACAAGGCTTACGTGGATAAAGCCAGCCCTGATTACTTGCTATTTTTTGTTTCCAGATGCTATTTTTTGGGTATCACAGATGCCAT